TTTATCTTATTCTACCAAGAATTTAATTAAGTTGTAGGGAGTTAATCAAAAAGAAATAAGGTCTTAAAGGCTAAAATATCCAGTAATTTCACCCCTAGGTATATGTCCAAGAAAATGAATACAGATGTCTGCACAAAAACTTGTACAAGAATGCTCATAGCAGCATTATTCATTTAGGCAAAGAGCAAAGCAAATGTCCACATGATGGCTAGATTAGCAAAATGTGTATATCATGCAATGGAATATTATTCATCAATAAAAAGGAATGAAGTAATGATACATGTACAGCATGGATGAACCTTGAAAACATTTAGAGAGAAGTTGGTCACAAAGGGCCACCTAGTATGTGATTCTGTGTATCTGAAATGTCCAGCATAGGCAAATCTATAGAGACAGGAAGTAGATTAATAGTTGCTTTGGGTTGAGGGAAATGCAGACAGTGAGGTTAGGGGGCAGTGACTGCCAAAGGGTATGTTCTTTCTTTTGGGGGTGTTAACATATTCTAAAATTGATTATGGTGATGGTTGTATAACTCTGTGAATATACTGAAAACCACTGAACCCCTTTAAATGGATGATTATATGGTATGTGAGTTACATCTTAATAAAGCTATTACCAAAAAAGGGAGGGGGTGTTCTCAGCTTCTCTCTCACATGGATTTCTCCTTAGAGTTGTGTGTATCATATCATTTATAACTACCATAAAAAAATGTTACCTAATGTCTTTCTATAAAATTATACTGAATTACTGAAGACATTTTATGATTTATTGACTTTTTGTCATCACCACCCTCCACGTTTCCTACCTAGGGCCAAACAGCTTTTGATGTAGCAGATGAAGACATTTTAGGATATTTGGAGGAGTTGCAAAAGAAACAAAATCTGGTATGTTTGATGACTGTCTAAAAATTGCCTATATTACTGAATTCTCTGAATAGCTTTGAATTTCAGATAGTTAAAAAAAGTATTCTTGTGATGTTTTGTACTTTTTGGTTTTAAATTATTCCTAGCAATCAAACAGGGGTAGTGGTGATGTCTAGCCTTTTGTGTAGCTTATCCCCATTTTATTTCCTTCCCCACAAAATGAACACGTATATAATGTATATGGACTCAAGAATAACATGTTTTGTAATTTCATAAGAGAATTTTGCTTAAAAGGAGGAGACTATAAAATCTCAGCTTTCTAATAGCAGGTCCTAGATAAGCAAGGAGTTGTATAACTGGAAACAGTACCATCAGCTATTCTAAGTGGTTAGTGGACATTGATTTTTTTCAGTGAACTAAAGTTGGAAGGATCTAAAAAATCCATTTAGTGTTCTGCATGGAGCTTTTTAATTATCTAGTCCTTTTCCTTCTTTACCCAGGCTCTTTTCTTTTCAGGTAAAACTGAAATCTTTTTATTTGTTTTGTTTTGTGTTTGAAAATCTACTTTGTTATTATTTTAAACTGTATTTATATTATTTTAATAGTATTCTTATTTTTCTTTGCATAACTTTGTATAAAGCTCCATAGTGAAAAACGGGATAAAAAATCTCCACTAATTGAATCAACAGCAAATATGGACAATAATCAGTCACAGAAGACCTTTAAAAAGTAAGTAAAATATTAAAAGTAAGTTTTGTTATTATTATAAATGAGTTGGCATAATGGCCTTGTGCATGATTATTGTGGATCTGGGAAAAACTAATGTATTTTTACCTTTTGTGTTTATAATCATTTGAAGGTTATTTTCCTTTTACAGCAAAGAGACATTGATTATTGAACCGGAGAAAAATGCATCACGTATTGAATCTCTGGAACAAGAAAAGGTTGATGAAGAAGAAGAAGGAAAGAAAGATGAATCTAGCTGCTCTAGTGAAGAAGATGAGGAAGATGATTCAGAATCAGAAGCTGAAACAGGTAAAATTTGAAGGATAAATACATTTTCATTGAATTTTGTTGGAGTGTACAGTAAGAGAAGATCAGGCTTAATTTTTAAGCTTCTCGGACAATTTGCTACTTGTTCAGATACCTGCCAACCCAGCAAATTACCTTTCAGTGAATACTAGAAACTTGCTTGCAGTTGTGAATTTATTATTGTCTAATTATCTGGGGGCTCTTGTTCATCTCTGTGTTTTGCTAACCTATATTCGAAGAAGGTGCAGAGGCTTCTAAGACTCCCTCAGGTTGGTACAGATAGGTTGTGAATGGATTCTGAGCAATTCAAGAATGTTCCTGTTGCTTTCTGAGGCCCAAAAGTCCAGGAAGCTGGTCCCTGCAGCATCATGAGTTTTCCGTAAGAAATAAGAAATAATAGTGTAGGGACTGAATCAAGATACTTTCCTGGGAGGGTATGGGAGAATTTACTTTGTTTTGAGAAATTTTAAAGATACAGAAAAGTATAATATAATAAACATTCATGTCCCAACTTCTAAAACTTAAGACTTAACAGCTGTTGACATTTAGTCATATTTGCTTCAAATTTTTTTTA